GCCGTTTGCTTGTGGATGGTAACTTGTCGTACGAATTCGCTTTGTACCTAACAAATTACATAATTCTGCAAAAAGAGCTGATTCGAATTGACGGCCTTGGTCGGTAGTTATACACGCGGGCACGCCGATTCGAGCAATCCAAGTCGAGAGTAAAGCTTTAGCAACGGTGTTAGCTTCCATGTCGCTAAGAGGGACTACTTCAGGCCAGCGAGAAAAACGATCGACGCATGTTAGACAATAACGGAACCCTTGACAATAACTCATGGTTATAATATCAATGTGTATATGTTCGAATCGATTGGCTAATTTCTCAAATTGCGCGACTGGAGAGAACACGTGTCGAGTAACTTTGCATCGCTGGCATGAAATGCACGCTCGCGTCCACTCTTTACAATTTTTGTTAATATTAGGCCAAACGAAACGTGAAGTTACCAGTTGTTGAGATGCGCGTGTGCCAGGGTGCGAAAGGCAATGTAGTGAGTTAAAAACGGCGCGACGTAAAGGTAAGGGCACATATGGTCGTACGACGTCGCTTGTCGTATCACAATATAAATGCACGTTGTAATCCGGAAAATAAACCTTTTTCAGTTTAAGTGACGAAATTTTGGATGAGAGCAATTCGCGCAACTCGAGATCGCTTTTCTGAGCAGAAGCGAGAGAATCGTGATCGACGGATGAGGCGATTGCTTCGACGCGAGACAATGCATCGGCAACACAATTTTCGGAACCTTTAATATGCCTAATATCAGTAGTGAATTGCGAAATGTAATCCAGATATCTGAATTGACGTGGTGAACACTTATCTAAATTCCGCTGGAAAGCGTAAGTAATAGGCTTATGGTCCGTAAAAATTGTAAAATTTCTACCTTCCACCATATGTCTGAAACGTTTGACCGATTTATAAATCGCGTAAAGTTCTCGATCGTATGCGCTGTATTTACATTCGGTCTGCGTTAAAGACTTTGTGTAAAAAGCTAAAGGTTACCATGCGTTAATCACGCATTGTTGTAAAACACCACCAACGGCAAAATCCGAAGCATCTACGACAATGCTGATGGGCGCGCCAGGGGCAGGGTGCGCAAGCATTGTTGCTTTAGCAAGAGCGCTTTTTGATTTATTAAAAGCGTCACGAGCTTCGTCTGTCCAGTCTATGGGTTCTTTGCTTTTCCTCGCGCCAGTTAGCAAATTGTTGAATGGTTGCAGAATAGCGGCGGCGTGAGGTACGAATCTACGGTAAAAGTTAAACATGCCGAGATAACCGCGGAGGCTTTTAATCGTAGATGGCAACGAATACTTAATGATCGATTCGACGCGTTCTTCCATTGGAGCGATGCCGTCGGCATTAACTTTGTACCCGAGAAAAGTTATTTCGCTTTGACCGAACACACATTTTCCGGGATTAACCACCACGCCATACTCAGAAAAACGATCAAACAAAATCTTCAAGTGCTCGAGATGTTGCTTCTCATCATCCGATGCGATCAAAAAATCGTCGATGTACGCGAATACAAAATCTAAACCGCTAAACAAAACGTTGGCACGTCTGCGCAGCGTTTCTTAGACCGAACATCATCATAAGCGGCTCGAATAATCCGAAAGGCGTTGTAAGCGCTGCTTTTTCGGTGTCTTCCGGGGCGATGGGAATTTGATGAAACGCGCGCACAAGGTCGATTTTCGAAAATACCTTTCTGCCGTGTAGATTATACGCAAAATCTTCGATGTGTGGCGGAGTGTAGTTGTCTGCGACGGTGCGTTCGTTGAGGACGCGATAATCGCCGCATGGACGAGGGCTTCCGTCCTTCTTAGCAGCAACGTGGAGTGGCGTCGACCATGGGCTCTTTGATGGCCGCATGACGCCTTGCCGTAACAGCATGTCAAATTCGGCTATTACTACCTTCAACCGATCAGGTCTAAGGCGACGAGGCTTCGCACGTATAGGCGGGCCAGGCGTCGTCTTGATGTGGTGCTGTACTCGGTGCTTGATTTCGCCTTTCCGAAAACTTGGCGGGCGCGTAAGGTCCGGGTACTTGGCCAAAAGTTCGTGATACGTAGAGGCACCGATCACTGTTTTGACTGACGTCTTCCCTCCTTCGAATGAGATTCCACGCACTGACAAACCTGTGGTATTATCGATCAAGGTTTTTCTTTTTGGATCGATTAGCAGGCCATAACGCGAGAGGAAATCCATTCCGATAATCGTGGAACTCACGTCGGCGATGACGAACGGCCAGTTAAACTCGCGGTGTAGCGATAGGTTAAGGCTTAAGGACACGATCCCGTAGGTGCTAATTGTAGATCCGTTAGCAGCAAAGAGTTCGTAAGCACTTTTCTTCGTTTCCTTAGTCAGTCACTTTCGCGGGTATACGCACAAATGAGCACCAGTATCCACGAGGAAAGATTTATTTGAATTTAAGTCTTTCACATGAATTCGGCGATGCGCGAAGTCGTCAGAACTCGCCGCGTTTACTGACGGCGCGCGTCGTTTCCCGACCAGGTACATGGTCCACGGCACTTTTCCGCACGCTCCTGAAACCTCTTATGGTAAAAACAAAGGTACCCATCCGGAGAGTTGTTGTTCGGCGTCGGTGCAGAAGTCATACCGTGACCACGTTTTTCAAATCCTCGGCGAGAACGAGAACGTGAGCGGCTTTGCTGACTGGTGATCGCGTCGATTTTCGCCGTCAGCTTGCGCATCTGTTCGACGAGAACAGCGAAATCAGAAATTTCACTGATCTGCTGCTTAGGCTATTGAAGGTTTACGGCGTGAACCGTGTCGGTCAACTTCAGAACTTTATCCAGTTCTGTCTCGCTGGAAGCTGCCATGACAGCTTGCACTTGCAAGGGTAGACGAGTCTTCCATACCTGAAGAATGAACTCGTCAGTCGTTAACGACGTCGCGTGCGTCTTCATGCTCCGGTAAAATTCGGAAGGACTGCGGTCTCCCATCTCCTCGCCTTCGAGCAACTTTCGTACGCGCGCGCTATCTGATTCGGTGAAACGCTCGATCAGCTTCACCTTCAGATCGTCGTATAAGCCTTGGTTCGGTGCGTTGACGAGGACATCTTCCACTTTCGCGATGGCACATGGCGTCAAAGCTGCGACAGATTGGCAGTATTTGGCCTCGTCGTCTGTGATGCTGGCATTCTTGAATGCAACTTCCATGAGCCTCACGTTGGTGAGCTACTTTCCGACGGTATACGAGCAGTTTTCTGTGGAACTAGTAACTGTAGGAAAATTAACTATTTTCTAACACTATCACTCATCCTAATGGAATTCAATTTGAAAACTTATATGTCTACTCAAAGTCCCTTAATCAGCACAGGTATGAATTTTTAAATGATTTATTATATCTGATTGATGATATACAGTATCATGCATTCAGTGAGCACGAGACAGTTATTTCACAAGATAAAGATCATTCAAATTCCATCATGATTTTCGACGATATAGCTAGTGAAAAGCAGGATAACGTGAGAGCATTATTCTGTATGGAAAGACATAAGAATGTAAATACTAATTTCGATCTTTGTCAATCGTACGCTCAAATTCCAAAGCATCTAATTTGAGATAATGTGAATTTACTAGTTTTGTTTCGACAAGATGATGTAAATATTAAACACATTTAAAATGATCATATCATTAACTGAGATATGAATTTTGATAAGTTGAAAGCAATTTGTTCAAAATGTTGGAGGGATGATAATCATGGATTTTTAGTTATCGATAGAGATAGACCAATAAATCATGGACGGTATAGAAAGGGATTTGGTTCTTTTGCCCTAAATATAGCGAAGTGAGTGGATGAAAATTATTAAGCTTTAGAAGTTATAAGCGTCAATATGTCTCATTTTAAAAGAGAAAATAAGGTACTCAAGTAACTATCTGAGGCTCGTGATACCACCAGACGTAAGTATCAACTAATAAAATGTGAGAAAGCTGATTTAGAAAAAACATTGAATGAAACTTTTAAACCAACGATTGAACTATTGACGAAGCTTATAGAAGTAGCTACTGATAAATCTAATGCTACTACTGAACAGATAACGAAAAAGGAAAAGAAAATCACGTTCCACAATGTTTCGAAGTCAAGAGCAAAAGCTCTCACTCTTAATATATTTCAATATTTCAATAGCACTGCTAATGAATTAAAGTCTACATTGCAGCCACTTGATACTATATTTGAATAGCTATTTCTATTGATGATGAGAATGATAACGAATTTGATAAGACTGCAGAATCATTACTCGATACAATTGCTATAAATTGTAACAAAATTACTTCAGATTTATCTATAGAAAGCAGTGTCAGCTATTAAATGATTAAATTGTAGGAAATTAAGTTTAATTCGACTATTGCATTAACCTCAGCAGAAAAGTAATTTAGACAAGATATTTGATGTCCGTCTACATGAAAATACATATATCATAAGGAATTCTCTATTTTACTTCGACAACGATAACGTAACTGTGAATGATAAAGCATACAGCTAAGTACCTGGTTTAATAGAACTTCCATTTCGTAATAAACATAATTCCAAATTAATCAGCTCATCGTATATAGAAAGTTATATAAAAATTCTTTAATTACTAACGTTAATCATAACAGATATGAAACAAATGAGGAATATCGCAATAAGCATGTAAACAAATTCAAAAAGTATATTGATCCAAATTTATCTTTGACCGGCAATGCTAAGAAGCAAAAATCGACTATTGATGGAAGAGGTTTTTTACCTAACTATAAAATAGCAATAAAAGGAACATTATTTGATTATCTATACTGGAATGATCCAAACGAGCTTATTGAATGATTAAGATTGCTTATTTTTTAACAAACCGCTGGTAATCGTAGTCATGTTAATGAAATTCCTTCAATCATTGAAGAATTACGTTAATATGGCTATATATATTAAGAGAATTCTGAATATTCCTTAGTATTAAACGAATGTTGATGTGTTTCGACGTAAGTTGAATAAAAGGAGGGTAATGCTGTAAACTTACGAACGTTCCGAAAAATTAGTAAAGTTGACGTTGCTACACTCATGACTACAATAAATAATCTCGAAAATCCTGTAAAGATAATAAGAGCAGAATTAGGAATATATCTTAAACTATTAAATTAAAAAAATTAATATATCAAACATATTTTTGCATACAATGAGAAAATCGTCGACGTAAACAATGAGGTATATTTTTTCCCCGCCATCGTCCTTGATGTACAGGTACAAATCGTGTTTGCTCTGTACGAAATCGCATTCTATCAAGTACTCACTCAAGTGATCGTACCAAACTTTTGCCGCTTGTTTTAGACCGTAGATTCCCTTTTTCAGTTTGCAGACCATTTCCTTTCCTCCTTGTACGTCGCCATCGGGTTGCTGCATGTAGATGACTTCCTTTAACTCGCCGTTGAGAAACGCGGTCTTTGCATCGAAATGCTTCACGTGCATGCCTGTATTACCTGCGATTGTCAAAAGTGTGCGAAAGGTCGTTTGTTTTACGACGGGCACGAACACTTCATCGTAGTCGGTTCCATATTTTTGTGAAAAACCGCGCGCGACAAGCCTTGCTTTATGTCTTTCTACCTGGCTTTCGGCATTCTTTTTCGTTTCAAAGACCCATTTACAGGTTATAATATGTCTGCCTTCCGGTCTTGGCACTATTTCCCACGTGCCGTTTTCTTTGAGGGACTTTATTTCTTCGTCCATGGCCAATTTCCAGCTGCTTGCATTTTGCGTTGATAACGCGTCATTGCGTTCGCTGGTTCGGATTCTGCTCTTGCCAGTTTTAGTGTAGCCATATATTTGTTCGGTGGCACGCCCTTATTTGACAATTCTAAGCGTCTGGTGGTTGATTCTGTAGCAGCTTGTCCATTTTCTGTAGATGCCTTTTCTTCCGCGATGCTGCTAGCGTCCGAACTCGTTTAACTGGTATCTTAGTCTCTATCATCTTTGATTGATGATTCAGTTAATCTGTTATCATTCTCATGATAATCAAGGGCCTTTTCTTGGCTTAAAATTACTTCGCATTCTTCATGAAGTAATGACCCTTCTTTCATGCCTCTTTTATCGAGAAACGTAACGTCTCTGCTTATGTGCACTTTGTCAGTCTGTGTATCCAAGAGTCGATAAGCTTTAAACTCGTGTGAATATCTGACAAAAGTTAATTTAATTGCTTTTGCATCAAACTTTTTCCGAAGCTCATCGAAAACCTTCTTGTACACAGCGCTACCAAAAATTTGCAAATTACTCAAATCGGGCTTTACTGAATGCCACAGTTCATAAGAAGTTTTGCTTGTTGCTTTACTTGGTAATCGATTTTGTACATAGTTTGCTGTATGAATAGCCTCACCCCAATACTTTATGTCGAGATTAACGCCGAATAACATACATTTTGACATATTCAGCAAAGATCTATTTTTTCTTTCTGCGACTCCGGTTTACGGTGGTGAGTATATGGTGCTGTGTACTGTATCTGAATACCTTCGTTCTTTAAAAATGCTCGAAGATTGTTATCAACGTATTTCCTTCTTCGATCTGACCTGATGATCTTAGAAACTTTATTGAACTGTATTTTTATCATTTTTACAAACTGCTTAATGAGCTCAGCCGCTTCTCCTTTATGGATCATTAAATATAAAAACGTATACCTGGAGTAGTCGATGATGGTCAAGTAATACTTTTTTCTGCCTGGAGTTTGCTTTCACATTCATCCACCGACACCTGTGTGCATTAAATTAAGAGTTGCATGCGTCTGAGTCTGCGATTCTTTTGGAAAACTTATGCGAACCATTTTTCTTTTTACGCATTCCTCGCAGTCCATTGTCAAGCTACAGTCCGAAATCTTGATGCCTTTCGCCAGTTACTTTTCCATTAATTGCTTTATTACAGCTGTGCTGCGATGTCCAAAACGTCTGTGCCACACGTGGTGGCAATCCTCGGCGCAGCCTTTACTTAATACTGCTCGAGCTACAAGGACTTTCTCTGTTTGTAACTCATAAAGATTCGAAACTAGGTTTGCTATGGCAGCCTGTGTTCCATCTTTTTTATTTATGATTTTACAGGCGTTCTCTTCGAAAACGACGCGATACCCTTCCTTAACTAGCTTCCTTACGAACAATAGATTTTCTTCTAAGCCGGGCGCATACAGCACGTCTTGCACTTTTATTATCGACGTTTTTCCATCGCTGTTTACGCACTTTATAGCTGCAGATCCCACGCCTTCTACTTTTACACGATTCTTGTTGTCGGCAAGGCGATTATGGCCGGTCTGGCTGTTGTTCAGATCCTTGAAAAAATTCGTTTCGTGCAGCATGTGGTTCGTTACTCTTGAATCTATAATCCAGCTATTTTCTTTATTTTCAAGCAAATTTCGCAATTTGCTAAATAACAGCCGTTTTCATTTTCGGCTGTTTTATTTTCGTGCGATGCTTCATTGGCCTTTTTTGAAACTTTCTCTGGATGTTTCTCTTTTCAGGCCTTGAATTTTCTGCATTTTACTTTCGCATGTCCTAACTTTTTGCAGAAAAAACATTTCATTTTCTTCGGCTCTGTATCTTCTTTACTTTTATAGGTTGTCTTTATTGCCGATTCGATTGTCTCGTAATCTTGTTGCGCTTCCTTTTTATCTTTACGTCGCATGTACTCATCGATTAGTTTTTCTTTGACAAACTCTGCTGTAATAATTTTTCAACATATTCTTATATCGTAGCAATGTGGTCCATCATATCACCATTTGTTTTAAGCACTGTACGAAAGCAATGTCTGCTCAGTGCCATTCTACCTGATAGAGTCGCCTTTTGGTGATATTCCTTGAGTATCATCCTCATCTTTCATAACTCTTAGAACTTTTTTATTAGCGCGTGGCATACCAAATTGAATATTTTCAGGATAATCTGATGTATCAAACTTATCAATATCCTCTTTCATAATTTGATACTTATTAATATCTTCAATTTCATACACAAAACTGTCTATATCGGTGTATAATAATTTCCATCTAAAGCCAACTCGGTTTTATATATAACCATAATGAAATTCATACATGAATATTTTTGATAGATTTGAAACACAAAGCCCTATATAAATCCGTTTATTCATACCTATACTTATTGGTGATAATTGTACTACAATCAAATTTTCACCAAAAATAGAACTGCTATGAAAATTGGAGTGAGCGATATATGCTTCTGCTCCAAATCGACTTTTTATCAATCTTCCACCGTTTTACTGTATACTGCATCCATCATAAGTTTTAAAACAGTTTAACAAATTCATTTGCAGCTTATTCTCTTTTTTCTGTATTTTAATTTATATAAGGCTTGAGTCAAGGTTTTTAATTGAATCGAAGTTCTCGATGTATCTTTTTTAGCTTAAGTTCATATTGCAGAGTCTGTTTTAATTCTTGATAATGCATGACATAGCGCTCTTTGTCATATAATGTTATCAAATTTTCTTCATATTTGAACCAGATATCGCTCTATGCTCTGGAAACATAAGTAGATCTTTATGAGTATCAGATCTTTATGATACTTCAAGTCTACTTCTAAAATGTATCCAATATCATCATCATCATCAAAAACATAAAAAAAGTTTGTATTATCGATACTTTTAATCCATTCAAAATTTTTATATGGCAAAAACTGTGTCATAGCTCAAACATAAAGATTATTAACGTCATATCATCAAAAATTTTACTTGATTTATCTTCTTTGAATTATGCCTCCATGTATTTATTATTAACCTTTGCATATCTTTTATAACATTGATTAATATCGCCACGTATATATTTTTGAATAAACAATACCATATCAATATCGGTCAGAAGTTCCAACTCAACTTTTGTACATTTCAGGATTGCATCCCATGTTGAACCGGGTGTTATATAATAATGTGCTGGATCAAGTTTATATGATTGCATATATGTTTTACGAAAATTTTGAAAAATATTTACTAATAATAGTACATCACATTTTAAATATAAGTCAGAGTATATTCCTAAATTTGTAATATTAAAGATATTCCAAACATTTTCTGCATGATGATATTCGACTTCATTGATATTCCTATCTGTTAATCGACTATAAAATGCTTCTATCAAAGGTAATCGAGATTCGTTTAATCTACTGAAAATATTATTCATATAGGATACCTTTTCTTTTCAATAATTTGATTTGATCTAGAGTATAAATATATTTGTTAAATTTCCATGTAACTATATCTAATTTCATTAAATAAGATGCTAATTTCTTAAGAGATTGGCATAAAGCGAAATGAATCAATAAATCGAAAATGAATTGAACTGTCTTTAACTTCTTTTCTGAAATATATATATATATGTCTTTATTTTCATCTAATACTTTAACAGTACCTTCAAAATCAGGATGTGTGGAAATTTCTTTTATAATAAAATGTGAGTCGTAGCCAGTAAAATTATGGAATACAACAGTTATAAAGCAAACATTTCTGTAATGTAAATGATACTTATTATGAGCAGCTCTTCTAAATTTACATGTTAAATGGCAATGATCTCTAACTTTCTTGTCACTGTCTTTAAATTTTTGTAAGTAGATGTGGCATTTTCTAATTAAAAAACATGTTCTTCAAAATCTGATAGATACACTTCTTATAATTGTGTTAGCAATATCTTGAATTACTTTATAATCCATTATATATATAATAAGAGATTTTTATAATGTTCATAGATAGAAAAAAAAATTCTTATGTTTTCACTCCTGATATTTGATGATTTTATTTTATTAAATTTCTGATCTTAGGAGTTATCCCTGTAACATAGTTCATAGATAGAACTTCTACTGTCATATATTGGTCTATTACAGCCAGAATACAAGTTCAAATTGATTTAATTAGTTATTCATGACTTTTTATTTCAGATATGGACGATTTATGAAATTCAATTTTCATATTGGAAATAGGCAGATTGACGAGTTTGCATAATTCGCTTTTATTTCTGCAGGCTTTGAAACATCAATCTGTTTATGCTATACATTGCTTTAAATGGCTTATATTTCTTTTATATTTTGGCTCACATATTTAATTAAATCATGCTGCATG